CACTAGATAATAAATATCCATCATGCCCTACTTCGGAATCATACCTATTTGATTAATGCTGGGCATTTCTTTCCCAAGGCTTCATACTATTCCTCTTGCCGCTTGCTCTTTTTCTTGTTTTTGAGACTGGGTCTTACTCTTTTGCCCAGGCTGGAATGCAGTGGTACAATCATGGTTCACTGCAGCCTCAACCTCTCAGGCTCAAGGGATCCTCCCACTTCAGCCATCTGAGTAGCTGGGACTACAGGCACGCACCACCACACCCGGCTAACTTTTCTATTTTTTGTAGAGACAGGGTTTCACTATGTTGTGCTGGTCTTGCACACCTGGGCTCAAGTGATTCTCCCGCCTCAGCTTCCCAAACAGGCATGAGCCACCTTGCCTGGCCCCCCTCTTGCTGTTTTTTTGATTGAATAGGCATTTGCCTCAGATAACCAGATCAGCAGCAGGACCGAGAAATACATTTCAGCTCTGTTTTGTGGGCTTTGGCAAACAGTTCATGTGTGTTTGTGCAATCACAGGTAGAAGAAATACCATAAAGAATTAATTACTTTGTAAAAAAAATCTGATTCTTCTGATTCACTTGATATGAAACATGAGCCAATATCAAACAAATTATTTTCTCTTGGCCAGGCACGGTGGCTCACGGATGCAATCCCAGCACTTTGGGAGGCCAAGGCAGTTCAGGAGTTCAGAGACCAGCCTGGGCACCATGGTGAAAATACAAAAAATTAGCTAGTCATGGTGGCGTGTGCCTGTAGTCCCAGCTAGCTGGAAGGCTGAGGCAGGAGGATCACTTGAGCCTGGGCGGTTAAGGCTGCAGTGAGCTGAGACTGTGCCATTGCACTCCAGCCTAGGTGACAGAGGGAGACCCTGTCTCAAAAAAAAAATTATTTTCTCTAATTTAATGGGAAAAAGGAGTGTAATATTCCTCAAGTGGCTTTCTAGCCACTTGATCCCATCTTCACATGACCTTTGAAAATCTTATTGCTATGTTTCTTTTCATATAATTGCATCCAAGCAATATGATAAATAAAGGTAGTTAGGGTGAGGCAGCAGAGTGTTCCTAACCTCACACATAAGCAGGAATTTCAGTCCTTGACTATTTCAGTAAGCATTCCTCATTTAACCCCCAGTCTAATATTTTTATGTGATATAACAGTGATACCAGAGCAGGGCAGGGAAGTGTAGGGAAGGGAAGGGTGTGGTCCCTAGCTAGAGCTCCACCCCTGAGCCTGTGCCCACAGACCTACATGAGGACAGGCATTTCTGTTTTCCTGCCTAAATGTTGCATTTCCCAAGACCACTCTGGCCTGCCATGCCCCCATCCCGTGCCTATAAAAACCCTGAGACCCTAGCAGGCAGAGACACAAGTGGCTGGACGTTAAGAGGAACACACCAGCGGAAGAACACAAGCAGCTGGATGTCGAGAGGAACGCACTGGCATAAGAGTACACTGATAGGCACTGGCAGGCCATCAACCGGGGGAACGACACAGTTTGGCCAGAGTGGTCAGAGGAGGGCCCAGGCTGCTGAGTGGCTGGACTCCAAGGAAAAATCACCTTCTCACTCTATCCCCCTTCTGGCTCCCCCATCTGCTGAGAGCTACTTTAACTCAATAAAACCTTGCACTCAGGCCAGGCGTGGTGTCTCACACCTGTAATCTCAGCACTTTGGGAGGCCAAGGCAGGCAGATCACTTGAGATCAGGAGTTCGAGACCAGCCTGGCCAACCTGGTAAAACTCATCTCTACCAAAAATAGAAAAATTAGCTGGGCGTGGTGGCACATGCCTGTAGTCCCAACTATTTGGGAGGCTGAGGCAGGAGAATCACTTAAACCCAGGAGGCAGAGGTTGCAGTGAGCCAAGATGGTGCCACTGCACTCCAGCCTGGGCAACAGAGCAAGACTCTGTCTCAAAACAAAAAACCTTGCACTCATTCTCCAAGCCCATGTGTGATCCAATTCTTCTAGTACACCAAGGCAAGAAACAACAAGATGCAGAAAGCCCTCTGTCCTTGCAATAAAGCAGGGGGTCTAATTGAGCTGACTGACACAAGCCACCTACGGACGGCTAAACTAAAAAAGCACATGGTAACACATGCCTACTGGGGCTTCAGGAGCGGTAAACATTCACCCCTAGATGCTGCCATGGGGTTGGAGCCCACACTCCCCACGACCTGCCCATCTGCCTGCTCCCCCGAAGGTTTTTTTTGTTGTTTTTTGTTTTTTCTTGATACAGTCTTGCTTTGTTGCTAAGGCTGGAGCGCAGTGGTGTGATCTCAGCTCACTGCAACCTCCACCTCCCAGGTTCACACAGTTCTCCTGCCTCAGCGTCCTGAGTAGCTGGGATACAGGCGTGTGCCACCACGCCCAACTAATTTTGGTGTTTATAGTACAAACAGGGTTTCACCATCTTGGCCAGGCTGGTCTCGAGCCCCTGACCTCAAGTGATCTGCCCACCTCGGCCTCCCAAAGTGCTGGGATTACAGGCGTGAGCCACCGTGCCCAGGCACCCCTAGGGGTTTTGAGCAGCAGGGCACCGAAGAAGTGAGCCCAAGCCACACCCCATCGCATGCCCTGAGAAGGGGATAAGAGAATTTTTCTCATTTCAATAGGACATCCATTTTTATGTGATATAACAGGACATTTTACATGAAACTCTTAATTATAATACTTTAAATACAGTATTTAATTATTAAATATTATAATTAAATTTAATTATATTTAATATTTTGAGAAATGGCTTTAAATTATACTATTTTGAGTAAAGTTTATAGTTTCAAGAATATAACAGAGGTACTAAAGCAAGTGATAAGCCATAAGGTATAAGATATAAAAATACAGACCCACACTAAATAAATAATACTATAAGCATCCTATTTATGGAGAAATAAATTCAAATTTTAAAAGTCATTTATATGGCCAGGCATGGTGGCTCAAGCCTATAATCCCAGCACTTTGGGAGGCCAAGGTGGGTGGATCACAAGGTCAGGAGTTCGAGATCAGCCTGGCCAACATGGTGAAACCCCGTCTCTACTAAAAATACAAAAATTAGCCAGATGCAATGGCAGGCACCTGTAATCCCAGCTACTCAGGAGGCTGAGGCAGGAGAATCGCTTGAACCCGAGCAGCAGAGGTTACAGTGAGCCAAGATAGCACCACTGCACTCTGGCCTGGGTGACAGATTGAGACTCTGTCTCAAAAAAAAAAAAAATAAGAAAAGTTATTTATATGGCCAAGGAAATTGGTTGTTAGAATAATATAGAACTGTCTGTTAAGTATAAAAATTGTAACAGAAACTATAAAAAAGACAAAGCCCTTGCTCTAAGTAGCTTATAAACAACTATAAGAGTTCAAGCAAACTAGAAATGTATTTGGGTTTTTGTTTTTGTTTTTGAGACAGAGTCTTGCTCTGTCACCTACGCTGGAGTGCAGTGGCATGATCTCAGCTCACTGCAACAGCGATTCTCCTGCCTCAGCCTCCTGAGTAGCTGGGAATACAGGCATGCATCACTGTACCCGGCTAATTTTTGTATTTTTACTAGAGACAGGGTTTCACCATGTTGGCCAGAGTAGTCTCGAACTGCTGACCTTAAGTGATCTGCCCCCCCACTGCCTCCCAAAGTGCTGGGATCACAGGTGTGTGCCACTGCACCCAGCTAATTTTTGTATTTGTAGTAGAGACAGGATTTTGCCATGTTGGCCAGGCTGGTCTCCAACTCCTGGCCTCCAGTGATCCACCTGCCTCAGCCTCCCGAAGTGCTGGGATTACAGGCGTGAGCCACTGCACCCAGCTGCTAACTAGAAATGTAAACTGTACAGGGTGGTAGTGGTGGTAATAATTCTAGAGTATAAAAACAATTTAAAAATTTTTTTTGGAGAATTTGTTTTTCAGATTTGAAAAGAAAAGGTGAATGATACACATATCTGTTTAAAACAATGACACAGGAAAGGTTTTCTTTAAAATAGGCTAAAAATTTTTGCCTTCCTTTCCTAATTTCTAAAGATGATGGAACAGAAAGACTGTTATCTGGGCCAGGCGTGGTGGCTTAGCCTGTAATCCCAGCACTTTGGGAGGCTGAGGTGGGCAGATCACTTGAGGTCACGAGTCCAAGACCAGCCTGGCTAACATGGTAAAATTCCCATCTCTACTAAAAATACAAAAATCAGCTGGGCATGGTGGCGTAAGCTTATAATCCCAGCTACTTGGGAGGCTTAGGCAGGAGAATAGCTTGAACTCGGGAGGCAGAAGTTGCAGTGAGCCTGGATCACACCACTGTACTCCAGCCTGGGTGACAGAGCAAGACTCCATATGAAAGAAAGAGAGAAAAAGAGAGGGGGAGAGAGACAGAAATTCAGGCTGTTTTCTGGAACGGAAATAATAACGTACTCAACAGTGTTGGCAGGGCACAGTGGCTCACGCCTGTAATCCCAACATTTTAAGAGGCCGAGGCAGGTGGATTACGGGGTGAGGGGTTCGAGACCAGACTGGCTAACATGGTGAAACCCCGTCTCTACTAAAAATACAAAAATTAGCCAGGTGTGGTGGTGGACATCTATAATCCCAGTTACTCGGGAGGCTGAGGCAGGAGAATTGCTTGAACCTGGGAGGTGGAGGTTGCAATGAGCCAAAATCTCAGACACAGCAATTGTGTGTCTGAATTATACAATGCATCTTTGTCAGTCATCTGTACCAAATGGTCTAGATTAAATTAACTGGGTTTTTTTTTTTTGGATGGGGCCGGGGGGCAGGGGCGTTGTTTGTTTGTTTGCTTGTTTGGATCTAAGGGTTCTGCAGGTGCAGAAGAAAGCTAAGGGAAATACATTAATAAATGTGACTAATTCTGTCATTATCCAAACTACACTACTCATTTGATAACTACCACCTAATGAAAATTGAAAAGTCCTGAGGACTAGAATTTAGACAGGTACTTTCAAATGCATCACAACTGGGAATATCTTGAGATACACAGTTCGAGAAAGTAAGCTGATAACCTACCAAGAGTATCTCTCCTGGGGCGTGGTAATAAACGCTCCTCAAGACTTCTCCTGTTTCCTCCTGAATCTTGGGAACTCCTTTAAGATGCCCTCATCTTCATAGTACCAAATGAAAGAAAATTAATTGCATTTGAAACAGTTTGCCACATAAGAAAATAAACAAACATGCAAAAGGAGACACATTGTGTGAATCTCAGGGGAAATCTTATTTTTCAGATATTGATGAAATAGCTCAAGAAACAAGATACTGATATGAGTTTAGAATGCCATCATCAATTTCTGCTTCTTTTGAATCCATTTCCCTTATCTTTAGTGCAGAAAAAGAAACTGATTAGATACATTACTGTGTAACAAAAGTTGTACTCAAATTTTGAAAGCATTTCCCTCCTTTTTTTAAAAACTAAATGTTTCTCTTTTTTAGAGAGTGAATTTTCTCTATTGTGAAAATACCATGACTACTAGGCAGAATTATATATTTAGTTGTGCTAAAGCACTGATGACTTCTTTTATGATGATATTTTTTAAAATGGTAAATATTTCTCATAAACCTGCAAAACTTAAGTGCTAGACTCTATAACGCTTCATAGTTAATAGACCCATTGGCAACACCAATGATAAAAATTTAAATGTAAGTCCAGACACTTCATATAAAATTATTGACTGGCTGGGCTGTGCGTGGTGGCTCACGCCTGTAATCCCAGCACTTTGGGAGGCCGAGGCAGGCAGATCACAAGGTCAGTAGATCAAGACCATCCTGGCTAACATGGTGAAACCCCATCTCTATTAAAAATACAAAAAATTAGCCAGGCGTGATGGCACACGCCTATAGTCCCAGCTACTAGGGAGGCTGAAGCAGGAGGATCTGTTGAACCCGGGAGGTGGAGGTTGCAGTGAGACGACATCTCACCACTACACTCCAGCCTGGGTGACACAGCGAGACTCTGCCTCAAAAAACAAACAAACAAACAAAAAATTATTGACTGGCTAAAATATTCTGGAAAATCTAATAAACTAAACATCATATCGATGTGAGCGTGAACACACTATATATTGTAGATTTCTTGTTCCTCTCATAAGCAAGTAACTTTAAATAGGCAAAGCGCACCAAAAAAAAAAAAGTCTTTTACATCATTCAAAGTTGTCCATACTTTCTTTTATCCTCTTCCATTCTTTTAGAATTTTCTGGAAATACAGTATCTTCAAGACAACAGGAGGAAGGGAAAACAGACTACAATATACATCTAGACATATTTTAAAGATATTCATGATAGAAGAAAGCACAAATTAATGAATAAAAAATTGGATAGATGACATGCCTTGTTTGATGTGAGAACACTTAATAAAAGGTTAAAATTAATGAGCTAAGGGAAGAAAACATGGCTAAAAGGGCTAGTAGCTCTGTAAGGGTGGGGACAGGGCGGGGAACAGAGTCAGGGAGACAAACAGGATGCTGGGAGGTGAGAAATAAGGGTGGGGAGTAGTGGGCAATCTCAAGAGGAACTAACAAGGCCGTTGCTTATAGTTACCCAGAAAACCTTATGAACAATAACAGACAAGCAGATGCAGCTCAGAAAGAAACAGCGGAGCAGCTAGAAGCCCCTCCTGCTGGGACAACGCACCAGACACGTTAATGGTGTTTGGGGGCTGCAGGTCATCTCTCACATGCTCACATCCACAACTGCTGACACCTCTGTTTCCCGTCAAATCAACAGATCCTGGCAAAAGACCCCCAGAGAGGATGAACGGACCTTGATCGAAGTATTAATATATTCCTATCTGTTCAGAAATAGGAACTTCAGCTCTACTCATTCTAGTTTGCCAGCTTTTCTATTTTTTGTTTTGTTTTTTTGTTGTTTTGTTTTGTTTTTGGTGTTTGTTTTTAGCTTTTCCTCTTTGGAAAGGTTTGTCAAGCAAATTCTGTACATGTTATTTTGAAAAATTTCCAGTTCCAAGAACCAGCACAGGTCCAACTAACCAAGCAGCCTTTAAAAAGCCACAGAGTCGGCCAGGTGCAGTGGCTCATGCCTGTAATCCCAGCACTTTGGGAGGCCAAGGCGAGTGGATCACGAGGTCAGGAGTTTGAGACCAGTCTGGCTAACAGTGAAACCCTGTCTCTATCAAAAATACAAAAACTCGCCAGGTGTAGTGGGACATGCCCGTAATCCCAGCTATTCTGGAGGCTGAGGCAGAAGAATCACTTGAAGCCCGGAGGCGGAGGTTGCAGTGAGCCGAGATCGTGCCACTGTACTCCAGTCTGGGCGACAGAGCTAGACTCCGTCTCAAAAAAAAAAAAAAAAAAAGAAAGCCAAACACTCAATAAAAGATGTTCACCTTCTCTCACTGCCCTCTATTTCTACAGCCTCCCTTTTCACCACCTCCTGCTGCCCTAGACTCAGCCCCCTTCAAAATCCCAAGCAAAGGACTGCACCTCTGTCTGAGGTGCTTCCAAAGGGCCAACTTGCAAAACTGTGCTTCAGATCCGACACTTAATTATACACAACTTGCCCACTGCCCATTTCTTTCTTAGCTTTTTTTTTTTTTTTTAGACAGAGTCACTCTGTCACCCAGGCTGCAGTGCAGTGGCAAAATCTCGGCTCACTGCAAAGTCGCCTCCCAGGTTCAAGCAATTCTCCTCCCTCAGCCTCCGGAGTAGCTGGGATTACAGACACGCACCACCACACCAGGCTGATTTTTGTATTTTTAGTAGAGACAGGGTTTCACCATGTTAGCTAGGCTGGTCTCGAACTCCTGATCTCAAGCGATCCACCACCTCGGCCTCCCAAAATGCTGGGATTACAGGCGTGAGCCACCATGCCCGGCATTTTAGCTATTTTTAAAAACACACTTGTTTCTTATTACAACAGGAATACACGCTCATTAAAGAAAAAAACACAGAATATTGAAAGGCAAAGAAAAAATATTCCCCCTACTCCTATCACTTGGATATGACCATTATTTTCATTTTCATGTTTTTGTGTATTAGCAAATTTTTTTAATTGCCAGGGTGATGAAGAACTCTCCACTGTTCATGTGGGAGAACCATGTGTTTAGTTTTTTCTAGGACAGATCAGCAAAACTTCCAAAGCATTTGTGAATGCAGAATGGCTTGCCGCGTTGGGAGACCAAGGAATAAAAGGCTGAAGTCCTCTTCCCAGCCAAGCACCAGGGGAGCCTGTGCAACTGAGCTTTTACACGGAGGGAAATGCTTCAAACTTCAGGGTTTTGGAAGTGTGGGCATGCAATGCACTTGGAATGAGCAGAAAAGAAAAGGTGGCAAGACCACTTCCCTAGAGCACAGTGTACACACACTGCCTCTTTGCTGGCTAAGTCACTAAGGTAGAAAAATGCTCACACGTGCACATGTACATGTGCATGTGTGTACAGGGTGGGAGAGAGAGAGATGATATATGTATATATACATGAATAGATGTATGCACCCTTTCTTGCTGCCTTCTGCTCTGCACTGTTGGAGCTTTATATTAACATTAATCTTCATGTCATTTTTATATGCTATCTAATGCCGCTCACCTGCTTAAAAACCTGTGGTTGCCCGATGTCAAATTCCAATTTTCTCCACAACATGGTCTTGGCTGACCTCTCCTGCCTTATCTCATTCCACTCCTAAGTGACCCAGTTTCCTGTTGGACCCTTTGCCTCCATGCCCTTTCCAGACCCTAAAATGTGATTCCTAGCCCCTTCTGCAGCCATGAAGTTCTAACACAGATATCACCTCCTCCATGAAGATTTTGAGGATTTCCTGACCAGATGTGATTTCTTTTGCAAGACTGTAAGCTTCTTGAAGACAAAAACCAAACCACACATTACTACTCATATTTTGGAAAAATACATTTACCTTTTTATCCATTTAGCTCTCGTATCATTGTCCTTTTCTAAATTTTATTCATTATATTCTTGGCCAGGCACAGTGGCTCACACCTGTAATTCCAGCACTTTGGGAGGCCAAGACAGGAGCATCACTTGAGGTCAGGAGTTCAAGACCAGCCTGGCCAACATGGTGAAACTCCGTCTCTTCTAAAAATACAGAAATTAGCTGAGGGTGGTGCACCCCTGTAATCCCAGCTACTTGGCAGGCTGAGGCAGGAGAATTGCTGGAACCCAGGAGGCAGAGGTTGTTGCAGTGAGTCAAGATTGCGCCACTGCACTCCAGCCTGGGTAACAGAATGAGACTCTGTCTCGAAAATAAAATAAAATAAAATAAATTTTATTCATTATATTATTATTTCTGCATTGTATAATAATTAAGCAGAATAATACATATATTCTCTTTAATTCCTTGAATGCAGGGATTATGTCATACATATTTCTTGCATTATCAGCCCCATCCAAGACCTATGGTAAATGTTCAAGCAATACTAACTGAAGTAGATTAAATTCAAGATTTAAATGCCAATAATTATTCCGTAACATAGAGGAGAGGGCGAGAAACATAAAGAGTTCACCTTACTCCAAAATAGTTGAAAAACAGCCTCATTCCAAAACAAGGGAGGTCGTTTTTCTTATTTTGTAGGTCTCCCATTCTTTACTTACTCTGACTACCAGCACAGGAAAAATCTAGGTAGTCTCCAACTCAGCAAGAAGTTGCAGTCTCTTTGTACATGTAGGACATTGATTTGGAAATTATAAATCATTTCCCTTTGAAGTCATAGTATAAATAATGTTTTAAGGTCTCTGACAGGTCTCCAAAAGTTGACTGAAACTCTCAATAAAGCAGAAATAATATATTTTCAATAAAAAGTAGGAAATAAAACTACTGACATATTTTACTTGCAAAATAATCAATAAACAATGAAACACACTTGATTTTCTTTTTTTTTTTTTTTTGGAGATGGAGTCTCGCTCTGTTGTCCAGGCTAGAGTATAGTGATGCCATCTCGGCTCACTGCAACCTCCACCTTCCAGGTTCAAGCAATTTTTCTGCCTCAGCCTCCAGAGTAGCTGGGATTACAGGTGCATGCCACTGTGCCCGGCTAATGCTTGTATTTTCAGTAGAGACACAGTTTCACCATGTTGACCAGGCTGGTCTCAAACTCCTGACCTCAGATGATCTGTCTGCCTCAGCCTCTCAAAGTGCTGGGATTACACGCATGAGCCACCACACCCAGCCAAGTGATTATTTTTGAATAATCATGATTCAAGGAAAGCAGATTTAACTATAGAAAAAGGAGGATATCTTCTAAGCATTCTCTCCTGGTGGCTATCATCTACGTTTCTCAGAGGCTTTGTTTTTTGGAATTAAGACACGACTTGAGGGCCTAAGTCTTACTCTGGCCATAGCTCTGAGTAATTTCAGGATCCACATGGAACCATGTTTAACACCCCAGTCCCTCTTTTCCCTCATCTCTTCATCCTCAGGGATCTTCTCCACTCCCTTCTAGTTCTCCCACTTCCACAGGCACTCCCTGGATCACACCATCCCCTAGGACTGCTTCACCTCTAAATACTAAACTTACAGGTAGTCCCTATTCTCTGACAACTCACCTCCTAACCTTCCAGGTCACTCACTCCATTATTCCCAAGACATCTATTTGGAATCTTCAATCTATTTGGAATGTCCAGTTCACCAATCCCTTGGCTATTTCTCTACAGCCTTATTCTGTTTTACCTCTCTGACTTAGATCCCAAGAACCAACATTTCAA